TTAGCTCAACCAAATCTTTTGCTGCTTATTTTCTCTTAAATCTACGAATATGAGTAAGACACACACTTGAAATAGGGCATTCTTTTGCAGAAGAAAATCCACATCACTATATATTTAATTGATTTCAGAACTCGCTTCATATCGTAAATAGTCATCGTATAATTTTTCAAAATCTGTCATAATATAAGCAACTTCCATATCCTCTTTAATATTACCAAAACAATAATGAGAATACTCCAATTTGTATCTTGGATCAAGCACAAAAACAATCACTAATAATTGGTTGACATGTTCCATTTCCCCTAAGATTAATCAATCTTTTTCTTCACGTCAATAGTCATTTGACCTAAAAGATAATCACCACTTCAACTTCATTGTTTCAATTCAATTAAAAGTAAACATACTTCATGAAAATAAACAGTTCACATGTAATGATGTACTAAATTTCAAAGTTACTTCATAAAAGCCTTTAAGAAACTTGACAAAAACACAAGTATTATTTTCAATCAAAAGTTTTTAGGAGGTCCACCCCATCTTCTACAATCATCATACATACTCTTGCATCATCATCCTCTCACCTTTCAAAAGCTTTTTGGAATTTTAAAACGACTTCCAACATCAAATAGGTGTAATTCCACCTAGTTGGTATATACAAAAACACAAGCGATTCACAATCAATTTTTTTTTTTTTTTACTCGCACATTCCTTTAATTTTTATTCTCTAGTAGGATAAGATTTAACAAATTTCACTACATTGCAAATGCTAACAATCGAATCATGTTCTTCTTTCAAGCCCTCAAATAAAATCAAATTAACAATATGCATACAACACCTCATGTGCAAATATTTTCCATCCAAAACACATACTACTCCAACCAATCATGTTCCTCTTAAGATAACAAATAGCCATTTCATTTTCAATTGCATTGTCAACTGTGATTGTAAACAATCACTCAATACCCCATTCGTGCAAACAAGTCTCAATAGCTTTACCAATAGTTTCACCCTTGTGATAAGCAATCACTCAAAAACTCAAAATCGGTTTATGAAGCTTACAGTCATTATCAACATAGTATGTTATGAGAAATATTTTATTAACATTCTTAATGGAACTCCTAGTATCACTAGTAAGAGAAATTCTTTGATTTCAATTGATAAATATCTCTAATAACATACTACGAGATGGATGATCAATAGAGGACATGTTACACTACAAAATTGTCTAACCCATGACCTTTGACAGAGCTAAAATGTAGTTCATCCAATATTGTCATCTTAGCACATGCAAGTCTACCTCATCCTTATTAAAGCCAACATCAAGGAGAACCATCCTCAAACCTTTTGTCTTCCATTCTTCCAAGATTCTTCTTACAATAAAGAACCAAATGATTCCTCAAGATACTTGTCTCACACTTCTTAACCCTACAAGCATAACCATGCCCACAATAATTGCATGAACGCCTAACATTTTCTGCTTTTGAATCTCCTATAATTGTGAAGTGTTACCATACATATGAAGATTTCCTATTTTTTCTCTTCCCTAAACATGATGATGAAAGTGGAGGAAGAGATTTAACACTTATTTCGAAATTTTTTGTTGAAGAAGTTTTATTGATAGCTTCAGTTTCATTACCATATCAATATTTATTCTCTAGAATTAAACAAGAAACTAAATAAACACAATAGGGCATATTTATATAGAATATCAACTTGTTCTTCCTAAAGGGTGGCATGCAACTTGTAACTAGAACAATAGTTTGTGAATTATGTTGGGAATTTACTTAATTATGTACAGCAGAAATAAAACAATTTTCAATTCGCACCAAGGATGTGCAATGTGTTTAGATAGAAATCGTGATGAGAATTATATCTTTGATGAATTTCACAAACTCTTTTGCTTTTTTTTGNACAGAAAGTATACACAATATAGATGTAGTAACTGTTGGGAATTTACTTAACATGCACAGCGGAAATAAAACAATTTTCAATTCCCAAACGAGGATCTGCAATGTGTTTAGATAGAAACTGTGATAAGAATGATATTTTTGATGAATTCTGCAAACTTCTTTGCTGATTCTCGAATTCCAATGATCACGATCTGCAATCCAAGTTGTCCAATTATCGAGCCTCCAATGGTGATCCACACAGAGAACAAAAATGACGGCTAGGGTTTTACTTTTCTTGTGCTAGTAAGAATAATGAAAATTTCATACAATTTACAAACCCTAACAGCTTATTAATATAAGCTCAAGTGGGCTTGACCCATCTTTAAATTTAACCCGACCCGATATTTAATTAATCAAATTAATTAAATCTGATCCATGAATTAATTAATCAAATAATTAATTCGGGCCTATTAATAA